AAAAAAATTGTAAAATCAAAACCGACCGCTCATAAACCGAAAAAAACAGTGCCACGTGGAACTGAAGACAATCGGTTCGGTTAACCGACCAAACTGCCTCAACGGCGGTTCGGTTTCGATTTTGCGTTTAGAGGTTTGGTTAAAAACCGAACCGACCGAATGAAGACTTTTTTTTATGTTGTCGTTTTTTTATGCTGTCGTTTTCCTCTCTATCTCTAATATCTCCTCTGAAGTCTTTGAACTCTCACTCACAGCCTCACTCTCTTCATTTCATCTCTCTGTTTTCTTTTAATGTGTCGTATTACTTTTATAGTGCTTCAAACTCATTAAACCATATGCATAGTTTGAAAAGTAATTAATAGTGAAAAGAATGGGCCCAAATTGCCTAATAAGGCTTAATACAGTCTAGTGCAGCTTAGTTGCTGAGGAGAACTCCTCTACTAGTACTAGATAGAATTTCCTTATGGGAAATCTCCATTTGCATAAAATTTGAATCAACACCAAAAAAGAGTAAAAAAATGAAAAAAAAGAACTTGTTTTCCGTGAATCTTAAATGGATCACATATGAATTCTTTGTTTAGCAGTCCAATGTGCTCATATGGGCTATCTGGTAAAAAAAAAAAAAACAACTAAAGATGTTGGTAACCTGATGGTTAACTAAGGTCACCTTCATGATTACCAAAATTGAAAAATCGACCGAAACCGAAATTCGGTTAACCGAACCGAATAATGTTGTATGTGGTTTGGTTTCGGTGCCCACTCTCAGAAAACATACTTTGTCGGTTCGGCTACCGAACCGACTAAAACCGACGATTTTTAACTACCGAACTAATTTTTATGTAGAAATCAATATTATTAAATATGTGTTTCATATTAAAATAAATATCATTATATATTTTTTTATATAGAAATCAATATTATTTTATATTTTTGTCGAAGTAATATCACAAAATAATAAATCACATGTAATGCACATAACACTTTTCATTAAATTCTTAATGGCCTTTGGTCCCTTCGGAACCATGTTATAAATTTAGGGCGTTCCGTCATAATTAAAAGTTCAGAAATCCTTTGTCCTAAAAGCCCTAAAAATATCCGTATACCAATTTAGGAATATTTCACTTTTCATTTGATCCTTCTCATCAAAGAATATAAATAATTCTCGTGGCAAAGGAATAGAATCCAATCAGACCGTTCATTATTGTCCTTCAATTCTTTGAAGGATATTGTCCTTCAATTTTGACTTCCTTCAAACTCACTTTTCTAGCATATTTGGTGGTTTTATTTATATTCTTTTTATGTATTTTAAAAAATTTTAAATGAAAAAAAAAAAAAGAAAAAGGTTGGAAAGGTAAGTAAGTATATTCCGTACTCCACTAGCAGGTGAGGTAAGTGGTTGGAATTGGTCAGATGCAAAAATGTGTTCGTAAGTTGTACTGCAAAAAAGTAGAAAATGACTCAACTAAAACCGCCACTTCGAAACACGCCTCCAACAGAAAAACAGACTCTTTGGGAAAATCCAAACTTTCACGGTCACCCAATCAAAAACCACCCAAACCACATTTGCCAACACTCACTACTACTTTACTCGTGCTAGATGGAAAGCAGAATCTAGATAGATATTAGTTCCGCTAATGGTTGTACAAAAACAAGAAAGAATAAAATAAATATTAATAATCACTTTTTTTTTATTAAAAAAATACTTTTTTCTTTGAGGAACCACTTTTTTTTTTCTTAAAAAATATATATTAATCCTCGATGGTATTGCAATAAGTTATTAATTTATTATCACTCGTCTTTAATAAATACTCGAATTTAAAATGTAAAATTGGACATTCATAAGAAAATTTACGGATATTGGTTACATAATCTAATTTTTTAAAATAATTAAATTTATTGATAACAATGAGTAATTTTTTCCGTATTTACGATATTATTATAAAAAAATGTCATTTTTTCATTAAAAAGTTTGGCACGTTTTTCTATACAAACTAGAAATGCGACATTTTTCATAAATTTTCTGAAAATTTACTCTGAATTTCATTTTGGATAAGATCTTAGAAAGAGTATCTTATACTTTCAATATAATTTGTTAATATTATGTAATTTTATAATCTTATATTTGCATTAAATTATTTGGGTAATAAAGGGTCTGTCTTATTCTATTCAAAAAGTCAAGATTTCGTTAGAACCTCTCTTCTCATGTAATTTAATGCATTTTTTTGGCCTAAAGTAATTTTTTTTGGTTAAATTTTCATTCAAAATTAACAAGTCACATACTTAATATGGTCACAATAACCATCAACTATAAAAAAAATTTGACTCTAGATATTAACTCGATATACTAGTGAAGACATGTGAAGCACGTAGACAAACACTAAAGTGACGTTTGATTTGGTGGAATGGGGGTGAATAAGAGTATAATGGAATACAAATAGTTATAGATCAAATGATTTATTCAAATTCCATCATTTGGTTGAGCATTAGGATCAAAATTTGTTAAAGATAACTACTATAGTCAATGGATAAAATTAGTGCGATTAAAATCGAGTGCGATCAAAATTTGTTAAAAATAACTACTACAGTTGATGGATAAAATTAGTTGATTGAGAGCAAACTCCAAATACCAAGGACACGAGCGACACGGCCTAGGAACAACTCTAGCCTTACACCAACAAGCACATTGTCAATAACCAACTCGGACATGTGAGACACGTGAATGAAATAAGAATATAAGGAAATCGCCTATGTAATTAGAACACATAAACATGATAAAAATAACATTACTTTTATTATAAACAAAATAAAAAAAAACTGAAAAACAAAGAAGATAACACCACGATAAAAGGACACGTGTTGCTACTAGCATCGAAGCATCTCCCACCCACGATCAACATCGCGTCCAAACGTCCAGCGAAGATATCTTCCTTCACTTGATCTAGAATCCCTCGACCAGGGATCTAACTTGTCAAGGTTAGCCTCTGGCGGCCAACCCTTAGATACGCTATAACCAATCATCTCCACCTCCAACCACGATGTCCTTACACAAAACTCGTTTGCATGTTCTTCGTCATCCGCAACGCTCCCTCACTTTAGGGACTAAAATCCGACCTCCTATTCGATATCATCTCTGCGAACAAATAACAGCTTAATTTGGTAGTGCTGTAGATTTTAGAAAAATTGCTTTTAGTTGTGCTGAAGGAAGAAGCAGTTGTTACAAAAAGCAGCTGAGTATTCGGTAAACTATAATTATAGTAACTGTACTGGTTTCAAAATCAGTGTAATAACGTTTGGTAAATTATGAGGTTGAATTGCTATGGATAGTTAAAAATTACGACTATATTATATTATACTATAATATAATATATATAATTACAATATAATATATATTTATTATTATATTTGATATAATACAAAAAAACTATTATTATATAATATATTATATAATTATGATATATAATATAATAATATTATTGAAATAATAATTGAAATAATTAAAATAACGATTATATTATATTATACTATAATGTAATATATATAATTACAATATAATGTATACAATAAAACTATTATTAAATAACATATTATATAACTATGATATAAAATATAATAATATTATTAAAATGGTTAATATAATTACAATATTATAAAACATATTATAATATTACA